AAAGGGGGGGGGGGGGGAGGAATGTGATTGGAAACAAGGAATCTGACTTGGAATGTGATGTTACTTTTGTTTTAAATAAATTGTTCACCCATTCCTCTACTGTACTTGACATTCACGCTCTTTGCCTATTCAAATGCTATTGAACTATATGTGATCTTATTTATGTGGTATCTTTTTAGAGAAATGTCCTTACTCTCTGTTCCTAAAATGTGTATTCTCAGAAAGACTCTATACAATTGATAATTTTAGTATCACATTGCCAACTAGGTTCTACCGAAATTACATTTCATACTATTTACAACAACAACAACAACTTATACGCCCCAGTCCCAACAAATAGAGAGGGTTTAGCAGTATATCTAGTACAAAAAGAGAGCAGGACTTTTTGTTTTTGGTAATAACCTGTGAAAATTATCATAACAACCAAAAGCTTTACATCCTAGGAGCATCGAGAGTACTAGGCACTTCCCAGTACATCAAGGCCTAAAAAAAACATGACTAAATACATTGACTCAATACAAAACGAAGCCTGCTACACAAACTAGCTACACAATCTATGTATCAACACTGGACAATGCCTTGCTCTTCTTGACTCTGCACGCATTCTTATTCTTTCTTTGATCTCTTTCTGGATTTGGTCAATACAAAAATCCATGTTTAGTCTAACTTGTCTAAATATTTTCCAGTTCCTAGCTTGCCAAGTATAGTAGACCATCGCACCTATCATTGCTGCTGCTACTTCCTTTCTAAACTGCTTCCAATGCCTTCTTCTAATCCACTGCAAGGTCTCAGGTATTGCCATATCTGATAGAGTGATACCTGACCACCTTGTTAGTGCTCCTCTCATGGTTTTCACCCACCTACAATCTGCAAACAAGTGCTGATGAGTCTCTAAAACATCCAATTCACACATGCGACAACCTGTATCTCCAGTAACAGGAATATGCATCTTTAGAAGTTTCTCCCTAGTTAGCAGCTTGTATTGATTGGCTAACCATAGTATAAATCTCTGTCTGGGTAGCATAACACCACTCCGTATCAAGTCCATTTCCCACAGTCTTGACATTTGACCAAGCAATGCATTATTACTGCTTGAGACAGAATAAGTACCGCTTCCTGTCAAAGTGTATGTACTTCCATTATACCACAGAGTCATTGTGCTTTAGCCCATTAAGCTTCTTCCAATACTAACTACAGTCTGTGGTCCCATATACTCCTACATGTCTTCATATAAATGCCATGCACCCACCTTACCCAGAATATTTCCTTGTTTGTCACCAGTTGCCATAGCAGCTTTCCCACAGATGCCACATTCCATAGCTTGCAACCCTTGATGTTTATCCCTCCACACTTCTTAGGTCTACATATTGTATCCCAAGCCACCAGTGCCAATTTCCTGTGCCCTTCAGTGCTGCCTCAGAGGTACTCCCTGCATTTCCTGTCAACTTCCTTGATGACACTTTGTGGAAGTACGAAGACAGCTCCCCAAAAATTATACACTGCAAAGAGAACATCATTTATAATTTGCAGTCTACCAGTATAAGAAAGCTGTTTAGAATAACCAGAGTTGATCCTCTTTGTAATCTTCTCCACTAATGGCATTCAACTTTGCTTCACTTTTTAGAGGTTAGAGGTAACCCCGGGTATCTCATAGGTAAAGTACCAGCTGAGAAACCTGTGTTACTCAAGATTATCTGTTTCAGTTCATCAACCATCCCTGCTAAAAAGATGTTGGACTTTTCCATGTTAGCCACCAACCCTGAGACTTCACTAAGGTGGTTCACAACTTCCATCATCCTGTGAATGGACTGGAGATTACCTTTGCAGAACAGCATCAGTCACTCATTTTGTTTAGCACTCTAGTTAGATATTCTATGACTAGAACAAATAACAATGGAGACATGAGATCTCCTTGTCTGAGTCCTCTCTTCCCCTCAAAGTAGCCAAATCCACCACCATTTACTTTTACTGTAAATGTGGTAGTTGTGACACACAACATGATCCAGTGTATAAATGGAATAGGAAATCCATAGCCTTTAAGTACTTCCTCCAGAAACTCCCATCTAACCATATCATAGGCTTTCTTTAGATCAATTTTAATCAAGCATCTTGGGGTAGTCTTCCTGTTGTAATGTCTTAAAATGTCATGACATATAAGTACATTATGAATCAAAGATCTCCCTTCTATAAAAGCTGCTTGATTATCAACAACAATCATTGGTATAGCTTTCCTTAATCTCTTGCAAATTATCTTAGAAATGCACTTGTAAATGACATTGCAGCATATGAAATAGGCCTGAGTTGACCGGCCAGTAGGGGATTATCCACTTTTGGAATAAGAGCAATAATAGTAGAGTTGATCTGTGTGAGTAGTTGCTCATTCTCAAAAAACTTCAGTACTACACTTGTCACCTCATCTCTAATAATGGACCATGAAGCTTTATAGAAATCACTCCCATATCCATCTGGTCCAGGGCTCTTTGTTTCCTCTATACTAAACATAGCAGTCTTAACCTCAGCAACTGAGTATGGCCTTACCAACTGCATTTGTTGGGTAGTTGACAGTGTCTTCACATTCCTCAGAAAACTATGAAAAGCTTGTGGTCTATTTCTGCCCTTTGTCCCTAGCAATTCCTGATAGTAGTCCACAAAGATTGCTGCTATGTCTTCTTGGTCAGTCTACATTCTCCCATGCTCATCACTTCGCTGAATTATAGCTTCTTGTAATCTCCTGTGCTTGATTATAGAAAAGAAATATCTATTGTTTTCATCCCCCAATTTAATCCATGTAACTTTGCTTCTTTGTTGTAAAAATACTTCAGCAAGATAAGATGATCTTCTGAACCTTTAAAACTTCTGATGTTCTTCTGCCTGCAACCTAGTATCCAATGGATTATTATGTAATTCTGCTTGTGCTCTGGCAAGAGCCAACTTATCTGGATCAGCTGTAGCTACAATATTATTGAAGTGCCTTCTATTTAGATCTCTAAGCTTGTGCTTCAACAGTTTTAGCTTCTTGACTACTCTGAACATGCTACACCCTTGTACTGCCTGATTCCACCCCTCCTTAACTACATCTAGGAAGTTTGGATGAGGCCCATACATTGCAATACTTTTGGCTCTCCTGTGTACATTGATGGGTAATATCTTGAGTGGACAGTGATCGCTGATTCCTTCTTCTAAGTATTGTGCATTAAAATTGGGCATAGAAATGAGCCAATCTGAGTTAATAAACACCCAGTCAATCTTGGATAAGATCCTACTATCCCCATGTCTGTCATTCCATGTATATCTGCTACCACTTGTAGGCAATTCTATTAAGTCACATTGTTCTATACATTGGTGAAAATTTGCTATTTCAGCCATAGTTAATAGGATTTCCTCCTACTCTGTCTTCAATGTTCAACACAGAGTTGAAATCTCCCATAACAATCTATGGACTACCCATACTCCTGCTCAACTCCATAAACTTCTTCTATCTTCTTTTGTATTAAAAGCATATACTACGGTCATCACAAATGTAACTTGCAGGCTATTGTGAGTAACCTGACAAGTAACTGCTTGTGCATGCTTAGACAGTAGATTCATTTTGAAACAGTCTTGTTTCCAGGCCATCCATATTCTCCCATTATAGTGCTCACTCAGATTTGTTATACAACCCCATCCACCAAATAGCTTGCTAGCCACTTGGTCTATTTTCCCGGTCTTTATTTTTTCCTCCAACATACCTATCAACTCTATCTCTTCTTTATTACAATGGAGTTTCACCTCCTTTTGTTTGTTAGGGGCATTCATACCCCTAACATTCCAACATAAAATGTTATCCATGACCACTAGGAGGTGGTACTTGCCCTCCCACATTTCTAGCAGACTTAGTTGCATTACTCAGATGGCTCTCATTGTTTGCATTGCCATTCACAGTCTCCAGTACTTGAAAGTTATTCTGATAACTCTTACCTCCTACTCCCATCTCTTGTTGTGCCTGTCGAGGTGGTTGTCTTGCAACATTCAAAGGAGTTACCCACCCTGCTTTATCCTTCCTAGGCTGTGTTTTAGTAACTGTCTGCCCTGTTGTATTGTTCCTTTCTACCATTTGCCTTCCATCTGTTCCAGCCTCCTTAACATGTTCCTTAACCACTTGATCTACACCTTCATCACCACTTTTGTCTTTTGTACCATCTTGTGCTTTGGTACTTGTTGTTTGCTGTAGCTTCTTTGCTCTACACACTTATTCATCGTGGTCATATTTTTTACACACTTTACACAATATGGGCTTCCAATTGTACCGTACTTTCTGCTCCATGAGCAACCCTTTCTTATTCTTAAAAAAATATTTTGTCAGGTAAATGAGTGTCCATCTCAACTTCCACAAGAAGCCTTGCAAAGCTCAGACCCATTTTCCTTTCTGTGTGACTGTCAACCATCAATGGTCTCCCTATTAAGCTCCCAATTTTACTCATACCTTTAGGACTCCAATACTTGAAGTCCAGCCCAGGTAATTTAACCAATATAGGGACTGTATACAACTATTCCCTTGTAAATTCCATGTCTGCATGCCAAGCTATCACAACAACAGGTTTGTTATCAAAATGATATATTCCACCTTGCAATACCTCATTCTTCCCTATCTCCGAGTAAAACCTCTCCAAGACAATACCAGTCTTCAACAGACACCTTATTGATGCCATGTTTGCCCCAGAGTCTACACACATACCCATCTAGTACCGATAATGGCGGGCGAGTCCCCAGAACATAACACACAATAACTGATTTTCAGTACTCTATCTCAGAGCTTATGTCCGCTGCTTCAATTTCACAAACAGGTGATGATGCTTCATGAATTTCAGGTTCTACAAATTCAAGTTTAAATCCAGCATTTGTTACCTTAGCAATATCAAAGTTGTCCCAAATGGAGCCCTTAGCATTCAACTCTGGTGAAGCTTCAACTTCATCAGCCCAAGACATTTTCCTCTGGCTGGTCCCAAAATTCAATACCTCCTTCCATTGTTGTGGAGTTTTTGAATTACCTTCCCCCAATTCCTTAGCCGGTGATCCTAATTGACAAACAATTGGTACTGTGTCTTCAATTTCCCCTTGTTCGATCAATTCATCCATGCATGGTACTGTTCTATTGGTTTCCTCTTTCTCGAGCTGCAATGTTGGAATTTCACTTCCTTTCAATCGATCTTCCTTCCTCCTTTGATGATGCGCACCCAACGCGATGGTCTCCTGCGCCATTATTGCCTTCTGCGAGGGATTCCGAGCTCTATTACCCATGGCGGCGCACGTTATGCTAACATGCGCTGAGAGAGAAATGGAAGCCCTTTTCTGGTCTTCTTGCCCTAAGGGAGCAAGACTTAATGGTTCTTTTCGCTAAAGAAAGTAAAAATGCTTCTCTTCATCTTATTTGGTACAACTAGTAAGGAAGTAGTGCATTTGTTGCGCTCACCTCCAGATAATTCGTCAATACCTGCACACTGTTAGCTTTTAGTCCTATCTTCCTGCATTATTATTCTATAGTCTGTTTTAACTCTAATTGGTTATAGTCATTCTTGGTTGTATCAGTTTGTCAATATTTCTTGTTGCAACCAATCTATGTTTTTATAGAAGCATGGTCAAGGTCAAGTGTTGACATGTGTTGTCTTAAATTAGAAAAGTTAGAACTACTATCCAAAATTGCTCCAAATGAGAGAAGTCAACCTTTTTTTTTTTTGGTGAAAAAGAGAGAAACTTTTACATTAAGTAGAAAGCATACAGGGGGCGGGGGGCTCAGCAGGCTCCCCCGATACAGAGTTGTTACAAGTAGTAATAGTAATATGACTAGCTTCTACGCCCCTAGTGGGGATATCATGACAAAAAGTAGTAGTGAGACTAGAAGGAGATACTACTGCCTGTGGTGGATTTACAGGGTGAGAGGTCGTTGCTTCAAAAACACAGGCATTTACAAGTCTTTTAGAGGTAACTCCCATGCAGTCAGCTTGGTAGTGGTGTGACAAACAGGGGCGGGGAGGGGTAGGGGTTCACGTGAACCCATGCTCCCCTCCCTAGACTACATATAGCACTGTAATTTTTCTGATATTATACTTTATTATTTCCGGGTGAACCCATGCGCAAGATGCCACTTTGGTCCGTTGGTGGCTGTGTGCCCCTTTGATAGTCCAGGTTAGGGGTTCGAATCCCCTCTCCCCTATTTCCCTTTATACTTTTTGTCTTTTCTTTTTCTGTTTCTTGTCTTCCTTTTCCTTCTTTTCTTTTTTGGTTTCATTTTGTTGTTCTCTTATTGTTTTATCTTTTCTTTATTTTATGTTTATTCTATTCTCCCTTTTTCTTTTCTTTTTTGGTTCATTCTTGAGTTTTCACATTCCTAAAAAATTAAAATTCACATCTCCTCCTTACCTCTCTTTCTATCTCAATTTTTTTACGAACAACAGTCATCCTCTAACTAATTTCTTTATCATTTCTCATTTATATTTTCCTTCAAATTTTTCTTTGATTTGTGAAGTGAGTTTTCTTCAAATAACGATGCTATTATTAATCATTTTTAAGGTATAAAATTTGTTAAGAACAATTGTAAACGTAATAATATTTCCGTATGATAATAGTATTAACCATGGTTTGTTCGGTAAGTTGTTGTCATAGCAAAATTTTGATGGAGTCAAGCTAGACGGTAGTATAGTGCACCCATACTCTTAAAATCCTAGATACGCTTCTGGTAACAAAATATGGTGGTGTTGCAAAAATCTCCAAGCTGCTTCCATGTGGTTGCCGTGATGCATACTTTGACCTTTATCTAATTCATTTCTGAACAATCGATGGTCAAAATCAGAGTTAAACCAAGAAACTTAGTTTCAACAACATATATCAGTGTGATCCATTACTGTATTTCCTTTTAATAATGTTGTGACTATGCTCTTACTGGGCCGATGGTCTATCGGAAACAACCTCTCTATCTTCACAAAGGTTGGGGTAAGGTTTGCATACACACTACCCTCCCCAGACCTCATTTGTTGGATTATATTGGGTTTGTTGTTGTTGTTATCATCTTATATCTGTGTGACTGCGAAGAATGATATAACTGGGTTTTGTGCTTTCAAGATCGTATACTGCTTGCACCTTTCAGCTCAGTAGAGAAACAATGACTTTTTCCAAAGTCATCACCTAGCGCTTCTTCCAGAAAGAAGCTTTTCTTTGGAAACCATATGTTCTGATCAGTGATCACCCCTATTGCTAGTAGCTCTTTTATATATATATATATATATATATATTATTTAATCATCTGGTTTTCGGAACCCAATGGCCCGACAAGTACAGATTTGTGTTGCATATGACCTATTTAAGGGTGAAGCTCTCCCAACCAGGAACTTTTTTATTCCCGGGCTCAAACCCGTGACGACGACGACAACAACAACAACCCAGTATAATCCCACTAGTGTGAGGTATGGGAAGGGTAGTGTGTACGCAGACCTTACCCCTACCCTGGGGTAGAGAGGCTGTTTCCGATAGACCATCGGCTCCCTCCCTCCAAGAACTCCCCACCTTGCTCTTTGGGTGACTCGAACTCACAACCTCTTGGTTGGAAGTGGAGGGTGCTCACCACTAGAGCAACCCACATTAAAATTGATGCGAGTGATTACTCCACGGCTGCAACAAATTAAATTATTGTAATGTATCAGTAGCACTCATCCAGTCATCCTCCCGTCAAGTTAACCTTCGAAAATTGTTTATATAATTTTAGCATAGACTGAAATGTATGAGGACTAGTGGCGGGGGTGAAGAGAAAAGAAAGTAGGGAGAATAGCACTTTTGGCCTTGTGTTATTGCTTGTTTCCAGTTTTAGTCCCTGTGATATTATACACAGCACATTGAACTTTCAATTAAGCAATGTGAGTTTTTTTAGTCCTTTCACTAACGGAATTTAATAAAACAAACTGACAGTTAAATATTAAGAAGAGTAATTTAGACATTTTAAGGAAATGTTTTCACTTTTTTCGAAATTGGTGTTCGGTCATAAACTTTTCAATTTTCATTTGAAAATGAATTTTGGAATTTTTCGAAAATTTTAAAAACTCCAAAAAGTTATTTTTCAAATTTTTTACTTAAGTTTACTCACAAAATTTAAAAACAATCCAAAATTGTATTCATGTCCAAATATAACTTTAATTTTCAATACCATTTTCACTTAAGAAAATACATTTTTTTCGGAATTTTATAATTCTTATGTCCAAACGCCCACTTAGTATAATGCAGTACAATCTTCTCCCTGAAGTGTTCTGTGCTTAAATGAATGCAAAGCTATCTGAGCTAAATTCATGGTGGAGCCTATTCGACTTTATATTGGTTTGATTTTTTTAATCGAATTTTAAGTA